CCCTGATTACACACAGACGCCTTGCCACCTGCTTTCTGTCTGGCCCCCTGAGTTTGCTAGTGCTTCCTGGCTACTCCCACATGGTTGATGTCATGACCCACAGCTTGAAAATCACCCGTCCAGACGGCCCGGGTGCTCGCAGACATCATGAGACACTGGTCATCAGGAAAGTGAAATGAGCCATGTGCCGGGCGCGTGATGTCAACTCCCTCCCTCCCGCCCCCACAGAGGCCAAAGCCCTGACACTGGCCCTTGCCCCACTGGATTTTAGTGGCCACAGGCCCATGGGATGGGCGGCAGATGTGTCCCACCCGCCTCTTGGGCAGGAGACCATGGCCTTGGCCCTGCCGAGCATGCTGCTTCTCACCGCGTCATCTGTGAGATGGTAATGCCACTTCACTCCAGATACACTCTGGTCACCAAGTGCTCAGGGGATGCTGGCTCTGGGCACTAGGGAGCTGGAAGCTGCTGCTGTCATGAGCTGGTGACAAGGGTGGCTTTGCTGTCTGGCCTGGAGCAGGAAAGCTTGGGAGTAGCTACCCCGTGCCTGGATTGAGTGGGGCGGAGATGGCCGGGAAAGCACTGGGGGAGAAGCCCACTTGGTGGGTCAGCCTGTGGCACCAGGAGGCCATGAGGACCCCAAGGGGTGGCCTTCACCTCTGTTGGCCACCCCTGGAGCTTGGCACACTATGGGAGTGGGCAGCTGGCCCATGCACCAGGGAGACCAGAGCTGTCACCTTGTCTGCCGGGACTGCCCACCGTGGCAGATGGACGGAAAGTGGCCCGCGTGTCTTCCTTTCTGTCTCACACTGAGGTCTGAAGGGAAGCAGAGCTTCCTGCTGCTCAGAAATCCCCCAGCCTGGCCCAGGACACCGACTGGGATACTCTGGCGTGTGAAATGCCCCTGCAGACCTGAATCCCCATGCCTGTGAAGTGTCAGTCATGGGCGAGAAGCGGCCAAGACCTGTGCCCATCCTCGAGATGAGAGTGAAGTTGCAGACCAAGTACAAAGCGGCCCTCGTAGAACACATTGCACCATTTCCCCAAAACTGTCCCCAAGCCTCTGTCGCTGGCTGAACAGCTCGGAGGCCTTCTGCCTATGAGCTGGCGGTCCCTGCCGTGGGGCCGAGGGAGTGGAGGGGCGCCCTGGAGGGTCTGGGTGGGCCAGTGATGGCAGGTAGCCTGGGCCTGCAGCTGCCCTAGAAGAGCCAGCGGAGGACAGAGCCTGCCCATCGCAGCCAGAGCTGCGCCATGCGAACACAGCCAGGCGCTGAGACGCCAGCACAGCGCTCGGGCGGTGTACGCTCTCCCCAGATGGCTTCCATTATCCCGCAGATCCACTCGGCCAAGATGGTGGTGTCCCTGGTGGGGGTCCCCAGACAGCCAGGAAGGAGGGATCCTGTGTTCTCGACGGAGCCAAAGCATGACGGAATTCTCTGTCGTCAGTCTGTATCCCGAAAACAGATGAAGTGGACACAGAGGAGTTGGGGGGAAATGATTTATAAAAGAGATGGCTTTCGGCCCTGGATTCCATAAGGGCCCGAATCTGAATAATTTGTGTGTGTAGCAACTCTGAGGGGGGTTAAAAAAAAAAGAGAGAGAGAGAGAGAAAAAGATAGGGAACTGAGAGCACGGAAATAGACTTCAGCCCTGGGCCAGGCACTGTGGGACAGCGGGGAGCTGGCTGGGCGTGTACTTCCTTCTCCAGAAAGCGGATGATTTGAAAACAGAAAATACAGTTGAAATCTCCGATCTGGGAGCTCCAGCCAGACTGGCTGAGGAAATCCCAGCACCCACTCCCCCAGGTCCTCTGTTCTGTTGAGGTGCATTTGGAGAACTCGGCTAGAGTCCGATCTGCCCTGGAAAAGTCTTGTTTTTACCGTTCTAGATGATTCCAGCCTTTGGCGTGCTCCTGTGGGCTATTTGTTTATTTTTGGAGAGGTTTTTGCTATAGGGCACGTGCGCTCGCCAGAAAAATAGAGACAGACAGAAAACAAGAAATCACCCCCTGGGGGGATGGTCACACCGCAATCCCTTCTCCTCCATTCTCCTCTCAGGACTTTGTACATACGTGCACACGTGCACATGCACCCGGCATGAGTTTAAGCCACCAGGTCCGGGACTCGAACTGCAGTCGACTACATAGGAGTCCAGCGACATAGCCATTATGCCAACTGCTGGTCCCTGTTGTAAACTATTCTTAAATAGTTTTAAACTACTTTTAAACGGTTCCATGTCTTTTCATTAATTAATTTTAAGTTTTTGCTATAGGGCATGTGTAAATACACATGCTGGAGAGAGAGACAAGTGAGAGGGAAAATAAGAAATCACCCCCCAGGGGATGGCCACGCACAATCCCGTCTCCATTTTCCTCCTGGGGTTTTGGGGACACACTTGCACACCCAGCAGGATTTTCAAGCCTCCTGGACTTGAACCACAGTCGACCCTGCGGGAATCTAGTGCCTTAACCGCCACCACCTGCTGGCTCCAGTTGCATGTCTTTGTAGATCAGCACAGCCCAGTAGAACTTTCTGCCCCAGGGTGTTGCAGTAGGTCCCTCAAATGTGGCCCTTCCTGGCATCTGTGCCCCCACACTCCTGGCCCTGTCCCATCTGCCCAGGCCATTCTCGGATGTTGTAAACAAACAGACCACAAACCATTTTCCTTTGTCATCTCCAAGGAGCACAAATTAAAATGCCCTACTTTTCTGGGTGAGACTGTGGCCCCATGTAGCTCCACTCCCGACTGCTGCCTGCATGTGTGTGGTCTCCCGAGGACACGGACCTGCAGCCGTGGTACTGTGCCCGTTTTCAAGGTGGGAAAACTGAGGCCCTGAAGGCTGAGTGCGGGAGCCCTTTACTGTCCTTGGCCTTGGGGCTTTGCTGGACCAGTGTTCAATACCTTGGTTTCCCTTCAGTGTAGGACTTAGATGTGGTCCTCCGTCCGTCCTGGTCAGCTCTGGGGGGAGTGTGCCCCATGCAGGACAAAACCCGCAGGCAGCTGTTGGTCCAGACATCCCACTGTACCCGGAGCCTCCCAGGGAGCCGAGGCCGGGGCGTGTCTGCTCAAGCCCTCTCTGTTTCATCATTCTCTCACAACTGGGCTTGGCTTTGTCACTTTCAGGTGAGGCCTCTGTGGCCTCCTGCAGGCAAAGTCCATCCCCCCACACACACCCCAGAATCTGTGACTTTGACCCAACCTGAAGTTCCTTGTCATGCTTGGGGGAGAGCTTTGCCAGCCCCCAAGGGTCACCTGAGATGTTATCTGGTGCCTTTTGCCCTGTTGACACTGTTTATGGTGTTTTGCAATCAGAAAAGACAAGAGATTAAGAAGTGCCCAGCTGGGGACTTTGGATTCCAGCAAAGCATCTGGGAACCCTGCACCTTCAAGTTTTTCCTTTAAAAAAGTCGGTTTCCTGGTTGTAGATGGTGTTGCTGTCAGTCATGTGACCTAACACCTTGCTTCATACCCAGGGCCAGGGTCTCCCTCCCTCTGCTGTCCCAAAGGCAGGCACAGAGGCAGATCTGGGGTGTTTGTTGAGTGGCTGCATTTACAGTTAGTTTGGCTTTGGGTGAGAGGCCTGGAAAGGAAGCCGTGGCTGTGCCCGGGCTCAGATCTGCCAGCTCTGACTCTTTGTGTGGCTGCAGTGAGACCCCCATGAAGGGTAGAAGCCGAGGATGGGACCAGATGCTAAGCAGGGCTAGACTCCAGCCAGTCCAAGAGGGCTGCTCCCACCTCCCCAGCCTGCCTGGCTCTGGTCACCTGGCCCCAGGGATGAGTGGAACCCAGGGCTGGGGCTGGACCAGCACTCCTCAGCCAGTTCGATGCCCATCTGCATGATGAAGGCACTGGCAGGCTGGTGGTCCCGCACTGTGCCTGCTGTCTGCGGGGCACTGGGGTGAACGAGGTGGAAGGTAGTGCTGCTATGTGCACCTACCTGTTCTCTCCCCTTGCGCCTCCCCCCGTCCGCTTTGCTGACCCTGTGCAGGAGGGAGCCAAGCCTGGACTCCGCAGCCCTTCACACGTCCTGGCTCGTTCCACCTCAGAGGGGGAGCAGGGCAGGGATCTTATCTGCTCTTGACTGGGGAGGGCCCCAAGGCCCTCCATGCAGCACGGTTGGCCCTGCTCAACCCCAGTGTGCTGACCTGGGCCCCTGATCACAGGGCATCCAGGTGGCAGACACAGCTGCCGGGACCCTGACTCAGCAGCCTCCTGACCCACCACTGTCCTCCTCTCTACTGGCCCCCCTGGCTCTGCAGCCTCTCCTACCCCCTGCCTGTTCCCTGCTCTGCCACCTGCGGATGCAGGGGCGCCAGGCCCACGGGGGAGTGGAGTCAGTGACAGCACTGTCCAAGCTCCCCAGAGTAGGAGTGGCTGACTAGGCCCAGGAACGCCCTACTGGACATGAAGCTGTCCCCTGCCCCAGTGGGGAGAGGGGTCATGTCAAATGTTTCTCTGGCCAGGGGGACCCGAGAGCTGGAGTAGAGCCAGAAGCCCCAGTGCACAACTCAGCCCACATTCCTGTTGGGCGCCTCCACCGTCTCAGGACCCCCGCCCAGCTCCTCCCTCCTCCTTTCCCTCCCAGGAGCGCTTTCTCAGCTGCGCTGGGTGCCTGGGTCTGGGCAGACCTGGGGTGGGGGGAGGGGATGCTTATATGGAGGCCAGGCGGCTGGGATGTCTCTGCCTCAGCCTGGTTCTCCAAGTGAGTCTCCACAGCTGGGCCTGCAGAGACCAGGGGCTGACTTCCCTGCCCAGGCTGAGCCCTGAAGCCATTTTTCCCTGGGGACAGAGGTGTCCAGATGACTCTGGGCTTCTGTGCTGCTCATGCACCTGTGGGAGCTCCCAGGGTAGGAAGGAGCTCTGACTCTGGTCATGTGGCGGGATGGGATGGCCTGAGCCTCCTGTTGCACCCAGACTGAGGAAAGCTGCCCTAGGTCCCAAGGGAAGGAGCAGTGGAACCCCCAAATCCCTACTGGCCTCATGCCCTTGTCTCCCCACAGCCTATTCGACATGGGCGGGGAGTATTACTGCTTCTCCTCCGACATCACCTGCTCCTTTCCTGCCAACGGCAAGTTCACCACGGACCAGAAGGCCATCTACGAGGCCGTGCTGCGGAGCTGCCGTGCCGTCATGAGCGCCATGAAGCCAGGTGAGGGCGCGGGGCCGGGCCTGCGGGGAGGACCCACGGGGGCTGGAGAGGGTGGGCGCCGTGTGGCAGGAGCTATAGGACGTGGGTCCTGCAGCACTCTGGGACTAGAGTCTGCCCCCCCTCCATTGCTCGACCGTAAGATTCTGGGTGGAGTCAGGTCTCCAGGGCCACTTCTAGGAAACAGGCTGACCCCCGAGCAGGGCTGGGAATCGAGGAGCTCAGCTCAGGCTCACCCTGTGTCCCACTCACCTTGTTCACTGTGTCCTCCCAGCCACATTGGCCACTAAGACGCCAGGGTGTCCCCTGCCCTGCCTCAAAGCAGAATCCACTCCGGGGGGGGGGGGCCTAGGGGGGTTTTGGACATTGGCACAGGTAAAATATCAAAGCAAATCC